AGAACCAACTGTTGTCGTTGACCTGTTGTTGGCCATGTCAGTTGGTGGTCCAGGGATGGATCATTACTCTGCTCTTCTCTTTGTTTTTTTGGTCCAAATTTTAATTGCTGCCTGCTGCAGCGTTCTCTGAGTCTGCGTTTTGTGTCTCCGTTATCTGGCTGTGATCACGTACGTTCTCCACCCCAGTGTTAGCTCTCTAAACAGGAAGCCACCATGGATTGCCTCTGACAAAATGGCCTCATCCACACTTCCTTCTCTGATACATCGACTGCGTCACTGCGACACGACACCGCCTCTGAATCTGGAGCTAATGTAACTCTGCTCCTGTCTTTAACTGGTCGTGATGTTACACTGTTACATTTTGTGTTTGTGTGTGTGTGTGTGCATGTGCGTGTGTGTCAGGTGGTTGGTTTTCACGAGTGGAACTAAATAGAGCACACGTCCATAAACAAGGTTGTATATTAGAAAACACTATAAACCGGTGACAAAAATCCCTGCACTCTATCTATCTATCTGTCTGTCTGTTTATCTATCTGTTTATCTATCTATCTGTCTATCATCTATCTATCTATCTGTCTGTTTATCTATCTATCTAGCTATCTGTCTGTCTGTTTATCTATCTGTCTATCTGTCTGTCTACCTGTATATCTTTTAATAATGTTATTTTTTTACAAGGGGTTTTTCTGGTTTAGCTGACATTAGGTTGAGGGTCAGGTTCCGTTATCCAGTCAAGCTAATCCCATCCTTCCATAATGACCGTGTCCTCTCTCTGTCTGTTTATCTCACCCTTCCCTTTAGGTAAAGAGAGTCAGCGGCCCATGGCCCACGAGTGTCTGGGGGAGGTCCTACGGGTGTTGCGTCAGGTCATCAATACGTACCCTTTACTAAACACCGTAGAGATCCTGACTGCTGCAGGGAAGCTCATCTCAAAGGTCAAAGGTCAGTGGAGAATCTTCAGCTTTGAACAGACGCAGCACGGCTGTAAATATGTAGGATTTATTCAACCACAGATTTCCTTTTTTGCAGCATGTCGTTATTATTATAACATGCAAATTATAACTTACAGTAAGTCAGACGTTTGTTAAACTGGATCTTTTTTTTTTTTAGGTTTCCACTATGAGGCTTGTAACGACACGGACAAGAAGGAATTTGAGAAGGCGATTGAAACTATAGCTGTCGCTTTCAGCAGCAAGTAAGTAAATGGTTTATGGAAGCCGACATCGCGATCTTCCTAATCTGAAAATAATGACCACCGCTGGTATCTTTCTTAGGTTTTTGCAAAGGCTTCACCTTGTGGGTTTAGTACCTGTTCCTCTGTTACACACAGGATGTATGCATGTGTGTATGTGTAATGCATGTGTTTCTGGAATGAAAGAGCAGTGCACTGATGGTGACACCCGTGCTCACAAGGCTGAGCTGAAAACAGGAAGTGGGTTTTCTTCTGCAGTGTGACACAAAACCCAAATTTTAAACTTATCTTTAACTACCTGGCTGCCATATGAAACCAGTGACACAGACATAGACTCTCTAATCAGTCTCCACAATGTTGTCGTTCAGTTTTTAGTCTCGGTAGCTACCAATATCCTTGATGTAGCTGCAAACACAATATGGGGGCCGGGGGTTGTTTCCCAGCAGAGGGCAGCCTCCCCACAGGAACAGATTGTAGGCACATGGATAAAAACTTTCATTTGAATTCATTATTAAATACTCCCAAAAGTCAACAACTACCTTAAAATGTTCGTTGTGATTAAGACTGCGTATATTCAGTGTATCTACCTGGCTTGAACCTCTGCACAGCCTTATATAAATCATGTAGAAGAGAAGAAAATGTTAGTGTTCCAACAATTTGTCATTGTCTGTATAAATTAAAACAGACATTTTTAATCACATGTTCGTTGCTATTTGTTGAGATACCATCACAGGAGGAAGTAAGCTGGCACTGACTGTTGAAATCTGCCTGACTTGTCTACTTCCTCATTTCCTTGTCTCTTATTCTCCTTTTCTGCATGAATAAGGTGTTCCTTTTTTTTTTAGTTTAACAACATCTCCAAGAAAAGTACTCTAACTACAATTCAAATGTAAATTTAAATCCCACGATGAAAAATGCTCCACATGCTGCATATGCTCCATGCTGCCCTCTGTTGGTATTTGTTTTACAGTCGTACAAGAGCATGTATTTAATGTAGAGTTGTGCTGATGCTACGTTGTGTGTTATTGTGCTCCTCAGTGTGTCTGAACTCCTGATGGGAGAGGTGGACAGCAGCACACTGCTCTCCCTGCTGCCCACTGAGAAAAGCAGGGTGGGTTTATACGCAACATAAAAAAAATACCATCTCCCATGACGATCAATTATGATGACTTTGAATGTGATTGTCTTTAAATTTATCTCTCTGTGCCGTGTAGTCGATGGAGAACTTGTGCACTATTCCAGACGGAAGCCATTTCAGGAGCGACCTTCACGAGATGGGTATGGATTCAAATTCTTTTTCTCTCACTCTCTCTAGATTCCTGGATATTTTTTTTTTGTCTTTGTGGCTATAACAGAGACTTCTGGTAGACATAGGAGACATCTACATATTTGTGTTCAGTTTATGAAATTATATACAGTTATTACGTAGTTACAATGTACTCACAATGTACAGTACATCCTGTGTTAAACCCTGGCCCATTTAGTTGAACACAACCCCGATATTCTCAGAGGAATTGAAGAAAGACACACAAAGATTTTCTTCAACAAGTCCTTTTAATAGTCGTCTGTTACAAATTGAGTGTGGTGAATAGGTAGCTTTCAGACCAATTATATTAAATAATGTTCCATAACAAATCTGATTATATTTAACAGCACAGTGGTTGGGAATCACTGATGCAGAGAGCAACATATTTAGTGATTTGCATCTCACATTCACACCATCACTTCTGAATGTCAAGCCTCAGTGCTTATCTGAATCGAAATTCAAGTGATTCCTGATGGGTGTAACTACTGAATGTCAACTGGAAGTAGATATTTTGACCAGTTTGCAAAGGTGACTCTGGAGACGGATGTTTAAGATGATCACATTAGAGACGATATTTTTACCCATGATCTTCAACAAACATCAACATCACCCTGTCAAGGCACTGCAGTAACCCTTTCCTGTGTGGTATCATGTAGGTCGAGTGGAGGAAGTGGATGTGATCCTCCAACACAGTGAAGGAGGAGTGGACTCTGCTCTGCTCTACGCCAAAACCATTTCCAAGTACATGAAGGACCTGATCAACTACGTGGAGAAGAGAATCTCACTTGGTGAATTTTAAACGATACATTATTTTGTGAAAGTTATTTTACACAGCTGCAGAAATTATAATGCTAAAAAACCTGAATCCTGGCCATTGACTGTGTGGTCATGTTGACAGTTATATTAAGATGTAATGAGCATTTATTTCCTAGATGGAACTCAGTTATGTTTTTTGGTATTTGTTTTAGAAACCGAGTTCTCCAAAGGCCTCCAGAGATTGTACCAGTCCTGCAAACACAGCATAACACATGTAACAAACCATCGTTATTTAAATAACCAAATATTCTGTCCACATGTTTTGTATGATTATTAAACTCTTCATGTCTGCTGCCCCACAGCCCCACATGCCTCTCTTCTCCATCTACTCTCTGGCTCTGGAGCAGGACCAGGAGCAGGGTGTGGGGCTGCAGCAGGCCAGCACCACCCTGCACAGCCAGACGTTTATCCAGGTGGACTTTAAAATGACCGGTCACTTTTCTGGCATGAACAACCGTCCCGCCTCATGTATACTGTGGTGACCATTTGTTGTGTCTGTCTGTGCAGCCTCTGATGCAGCAAAAACAGGAACACGAAAAGAGACGGAAAGAGATCAAGGAGCACTGGATCCGAGCAAAGAGAAAATTGGTAAAAACTGTTTACCGGGGAAATTTTTCCCCCAGACATTTGCAAAAATGTCACCTGTTCCCTATTTGTCCATGTGAAAATAAGATGAATACATGCATGAGAATAAGGCCTGTGTTTAGATGGAGTGCGAGGTGAACCTGAGGAAGTCCAAACAAGCCTACATGACTCGCTGCGAGGAGTACGACAAGGCGAAAATAGCAGCCTGTCGGGCTGAGGAGGAAAGTGGAGGCTCTACAGCAAAGAATCTGGAAAAGAAGAAACGGTTGGAGGAAGAAACTCGGAATAAGGTCTCTGTCAGTCACGTGACATGTGGTGGTTAAGAGTTTATAAAAATTAAAAAATATCCTACATCTGAACTCACTTAAACATCATTCACAGGCAGACGAAGCAGAGGCCACCTATCGGACATGTATCGCGGATGCGACCGCTCAGCAGCTGGAGCTGGAACACACGAAGGTCACGGTTCTCCGTCAGCTGCAGGACGTCATCAAACAGAGTGACCAGACCCTGCGTTCGGTCAGTTTGGTCCCATATAAACACAAGCAAAGACACACACCAGCACCACATCTGTCACTAAAACTGTGCTGCTGCTCCCCCTGCAGGCGACCATCTCCTACTACCAGCTCATGCACATGCAGACCGTAGCCCTGCCCGTCCACTACCAGACCCTGTGTGAGAGCAGTAAACTGTATGATCCTGGTCAACAGTACGCTGCTCATGTGAGGGACCTGCAGCTGCCAGAGCAGCCCGTGGTTAACTACACATTTGAGGCATACTCTCCAGCCAGCTCTGCGTCACAGTGAGGACTTTAGTGTTTTCAACAGTGAAAGAATAGAACACATTTCCATCTGACTTTTCTGAGAGCTCCTAATGAGGATGGTTTGTGAATCACTGAGATCAAAATCACTTCTCCTCTGCACAGCCACGGTCACAGACCAAGGAATGACAGTTTCAACACAGAGCCTTCCAGTCAAGCAGACAGTCCCGCCACCAGTGTGGACACGACTCCAGCCGACAGCAGGGAGGCGGAGGTTCAACGCAGGAGTGAGTAGTAGCTAAGATAAGAAAGAAGAATAATACAATTTTTTTTCATATGATTTTGTACAAAAGTAGAAAAAAAAGAGTTTACTGTGACGTGTATTGAAACTTAATTTAATATGTTTTTTCTTTTGTAATTTCCAGGACAAGGACACAAGTCCTGGGGTTCAACGGTCAGCGATGACAGTGTTGCAGGTGGACTGGAGTCGTCTGTCATCTGTACGGGTAAACAGCAACAACAACATCAGTGATCCGCATCAGACTACACTCTCTATTCTCATGTACGAAAAGCCGTGTTTGGGGAAAGTGAAAACGTTTTTCAATCGCAGGCAACATCGCTCGTACATCCTCCACTGGAACGATGTCGTCAAATGAAGATGCCGATGAAAAAGATGGGAACGTGAATTCCTTTGAATCCCCGAGTAAGTTGTTCAGATTGATTCGTGCTCTGGATTCTCCTGTTGTTAGCATTTCTTCCTTGTGCCTACTGTGTGGGTTTATTCACCTGCAGATATCAACGGCATGGATCCTGACGTGGTGGTGTCCACAAGACCTTTCCGTAACGTGGGCCTGTCCAAAGCAGCTCAGACCCACAGACTGAGGAAGCTGCGGACTCCTGCCAAGTGTCGAGAGTGTGACAGCTACGTTTACTTCCAGGGAGCCGAGTGCGAGGAGGTGAGAATGGACACACCTGGACATTTAAACGTATTTTGAACAGGTTTCTTTATATCTATGATGTTGAGGTTTTTTTGTTTTTTTTCTTCAGTGTTTCCTGTCATGTCACAAACGCTGCCTGGAAACCCTGACCATTCAGTGTGGTCATAAAAAGCTGCAGGGCCGCCTGCAGCTCTTCGGAAGGGAGTTCTCCCAGGTAGCCAGCAGCACCAATGACGGCATTCCCTTCATCATCACCAAGTGCATCTCTGAGATCGAGAGAAGAGCCCTAACGATGAAGGTGGGAACAACGCACGTGCGCACGTTCATCACGACAAAAATTAAACTGAAACCTTGTGCTAATCACTGGTCACTGTTTTGGTCCTGCAGGGCATTTACAGAGTCAACGGTGTGAAGACCCGCGTAGAGAAGCTGTGCCAGGCCTTTGAGAATGGGAAAGAGCTGGTGGAGCTGTCCCAGTGTTCACCACATGACATCAGCAATGTTCTCAAACTGTACCTCAGACAGGTACGCAACCACACTAATACAGGAGCCACAAATTAAAAAAAACCCAAAGACTTATTGATGTTTCCAGAGCAATGGAGTTCAGTGTGTCTGTTATGTTTGTCCACCAGCTGCCTGAGCCCCTCATGTTGTTCCGGTTGTACAACAGTCTGATGGGTGTGGCCAAAGAGAGTCTGCAGAGTGAAGAAGAAACACCAGAGGAGGCTGAGTCTGGTGGCACCAACCCAGCTGTCAGCAAGGGGGCGGAGCTCGTTGACCTGGGTCCAGACACAGATCCAGAGGTTCTGGTCTTGGTGGACAAGCTGAAGGAGCATTTGAAGGAGCTGCCCAAGGCTAACTTTGCCACACTGCGTTACATCGTACGCCACCTCCGAAGGTCCGTTATTATCAAAATCCTAAAACGTCCAATGGCAAAACTGGTAGTAACACAGCAAAAAAATTTAACCCATTTAGACAAACAGAGCTTTTATGTTCCATTTCTGCTGAAAACTTTTAATGAGTCACAGAAATGAATAGTTCTTCTGTTCTGCTCCCAGGATCGCAGAGCTGGAGGAAAACAACAAGATGAGTCCCAGTAACTTAGGGATCGTGTTTGGGCCTTCGCTGATGCGTCCGCGTCCGACCGGGGCTACGATATCCCTGTCCTCTCTGGTGGATTATCCGCACCAGGCCCGGATCGTGGAAGCACTCATTGTCTTCTATTCTTCCATCTTCCAGTCCAAATCATCTCAGCCCCACAAAACCAGCCGCGCTGCCTCTTCTTCTGCTCAGCAGGTAACTAATAAGTGTGTTGTGAGGTTTGATGTGATTCGAGGGGTTTGGCTACCACAGGAGGCACCATGAAGTGATTAACACGGTTGCAAATCAAAGGCGGATTTACAACAAAATGCTAATCTTCCTCTGACTAGAGCCTAATTGAAATGTGCAAATTTTCAATTTGGCTGCTTCACACCTCTCCTTCTCTTCCTGGGTCAGGAATCCACGGCTGATGACAACACGGGCTCGGTAGACGGGGAGGAGGATGGAGGAGAAAAACAGAGTAAAGTAGACACTGACAAGACAGAGGAGGGCTGTGGTAAGTTTCAGGAGAACCTGAGCAGAAGGCCAATGTGAACGTAATGGAAGTTTTGTTTTTTACAAAATAGAACTTGTCTTTTTGATTGGGTTTACTGGAGTTTTTATGAATTTTCCTGTTCATGTTCCTGCTAATCTCCGTTCAGAAAGTTCTCTGGGCTCCAGCGAGCAGCTCCCCGACTCCGACTCGGACGAAAGCCGGGTCTCGCACTCCCACAGCCTGGTGAAGCAGGAGAGTGAGTTTAGCGTGGACGAAGACCAGCAGAGCTACAGGGACAGTCTGGATCTGTCCAATCAGTTCACCGCTCACATCAACCCGGATCAAGAAGCAAACGACGACCAAGACAACTGTGAGGAAACAGAGCCCCCGGGTCTGTCTGACAGCGGGCCCCCAGATGTTGACACCGTGGCCGAGCAGGATCTGAGTGACGCCCTGGCCAATCTTAACGTAAACCAGTCCAACAACAATTACCCATGTTCCCCCATTTTAACACTGTCTGGTCTTCCTCTAGCTCGTCTGAGTGGCAAGAAACTGACCCTGACCAGGAACAGGGACAGTGAGCCTGAGTATGTCTGACGTGGGAATGTCAGTCACATCTGTGAGAGTGAGTGAAGTGAATCTGTCACAGGGTTATTTTACATGTGTGTAAAATGTCGTATTTACGGTAATCATTTTATTTGTACTCGTGTGGACTTGTTTGCAGATGTTTACTGATCAGCACTGAAACTTCTGTTGCTTTTTGCCGTTTTATGCAGTTCATCAACAAATTCTCTTTAATGACTTAAATATAACTTTTAATATGTTTCGTGTTGCTCTTAGAGCTGTGATGTGTTGCGTTTCCTATCAAGGGCTGCAGGTTAAATTTTTAATCACTGGAATTTAAAACTTTTTATTTCATGTGTTTTATATTTAAATAAAAAATGTATTTTAAAACTTTTATTTGTTAATATTTATCACTAATAGTCTAAGGATAGTGACATTGGTGGTATATAAAATAGTTTGTTTTTTTTAATGGTCTGTATTGTCGTTGTACCACGGGGATACAACGAAACTGAGCCTCTGCTTTTAACCCATCACTGCATAAATACAAAAAACAAAGTCACAGATACTTTTTCAATTTTTATTTTATAAAATCTGCTTTTATGAAACAATACAATTCTAACACATCAAAAAATCAAAACATGTTCATCAGAGGTTGAACCAGAAAACCACCTGTAACACAAACACAATTTGTCAAACAACACACACCAATGATTGGCTGATTAAAGTAGTGAATATATTAGTTACTGGTGACTGTCAACATTAGAACACAATGTAACTCACCTTTTACTGGACCAGTCTGTATGTGATGTACCTCCCAGCTGTTTCACTGGGTCTAATGATCTTCACAACCTGTGTGAGGTGAGGAAAATTAAAAAAAAAAAACAGCATCATTATTTGTTACATTTCTAAACCTGTGAATTCACGTTTCTAAGATGTGTTCCAGTTCGGAGGCTGCAGCTACAGCATGTACAAGAGGACCGGGGACTACGGAGCTTTTTAATTAGATTTAAAATATATATTTGTTAAAGTAAATGTAGATCTCACCTTTGTACTTGTATTTTTAATATTTCTCATTATAAATGAACTAAATGTTTAATTTGTAAAGTTAATGTTATATATGTATATATATATATAAAATGTCACTATTAATTCAACACTATTGAAATATCCTGACCAGGTTTGGCTCTATAATGTCACTGAAGTCCTACCTGTCCTCTTTTTAATCCAAAGTAACGAGCCACGGGGTCTCCAGCCTGGATCCTCGGCAACTGACTCTCTTTTAACTTACTGAGGTGAAACAGTTAAGAAAAACAATTATAGCAGATTCTTAGCAGAGATAGATTTGATGTGGTTTGATGTTAACCTTCTGTATTTAAAAAGGATACTATCTTGCCAAAAGTTCGGTCACTTCCTCTTTGGTCATAACGATATGCTCCGGGACAAGCTAGAAGACAAGGAAGTTAAAGCTTAAGAAAATAAGACAAATTGATATGTGAAAACAATGATGCAGTTGAAATCGTCGGTGAGACTCAACATGTTCTTCACCTCATGCTCTGTGATGTTAATAAGCAGCTCCTGTTGTAGAAACTGCTCCAGGATGTATTTAGGTGCCATGTCGACTAGAGACTGCAAGATATTACGAAAGATTCATTTTTGTCGATGTCAGAGAAGCAACATGTTCACTTTTGTGATGCTCTCAGTCGGGGTTTTACCTGTTTAGCTGAGGGCGTCATGCCCATCTGAACAACAATAATGGCACGTGTGATGTTTTCCTCCTGCATTCTCTGACAGTACATTTTAATAGTCTTGATTCCCACCTTTTGCTCCTCTGAAAATTCAAGGGCAATTAAATTGCACTCTCTTCAGTTCCGTGACCTTTAATATACTTGTAACAGGCGTTAGGTGTTTTGACGTGATTTTTATCATGAAGGTTAACTTACCAGGAAAGAAAACAAACATCTGGTCTGTAGGATCATCATTGTGAGCAACTAGTACAGTGAGGTCTGTACGTCTCGGGTGACCTTCGCTGGGCTTATCCCCAAACTGACTTTTGAATTCCTCAAGAGTCTGGTCCAACTCATCCTGTGTCACCAGGTAACCTCTGTCATGGCACAGCTGAGAATGTAAAGGTCAAGTTAAATAAAATTACAACAACGTTCAAAGTGTACGTGGTAGAGATTACAAGGAAACGTAGAACAGTAACTTTTAGTGTAAAGGACTCGGAAAATCAATTGAAAGACGGTCCAGTTTTAAAGTTGACCATTATTACTGTTATTGATATAAATAGCGTATTCCACGATGTGTACTGAGTCGTGAAGGGTGCCTTTATTTATTTTCTATTTTTCTATTCTGTGGCTGCTGTTGTTTACCTTAACGCCGAATAGAAACTAAGGAGAAAGAGCTCGTAGCTCAGCGGATGAATTATCACATTGAATCAACATACAGGCGATATAAAGACATGCATTAGCCAAAATATCACACGAGCTGGTGAACACTGGCCATCAAATCAACAATTAACCATTCATTGTTTTGTGACCATGAGCTAACCTAGGCTACATGCTAAGATACAGGTCAAAATGTAAAAACAGCTAATATGGCGCACCTGCATGATGGTTTTACGAATTCTCCACAGCCTGTAGGTTTCCTCTTCATCATCCATGTCTTGTTTTATACGTGAGTTTAGTGGGATCTGTTTAAATATATGTTTGTTTTTGTTAAACACTGTACATCAACGGAAAACGCGACGCACGCGTTCGGTGATTCGGCGCACAGTGATGACGCCAGGAGATGTAATGATTCAATGTGGACGACGTCAGTGTGAAGTATGTATTAAGGAATATTACCCATTACCTTTCATCAAGCTTTTGTCACAATTATTTTAAATTAATAAATAAAACCAACATTCTTGATTCTTTAAATGAAAATGTTTATTTTTTCGAAAGAGAAAGTATTATTAAAAATTATTTGAGTACTTTTAAATGGATGTCTATTGAAATATTGTGTTTTTGTTCTTAGCACAAATATTTTCTTATTTTAGCATACCAAAACTGTGTCGTGTTTTGTAGTCATCAGATTAAGTATTAAGCAGTACAAGGAACGTCAGCGGGAAGACGAGAAGAAAGGTTAGAGGAGACGATTACAAGGGCCGGGTGAGCCGATCAAATCATTTGTTTACCCTGCGCGGCCACCGGAAGAGGCAGCGATGACGGGATGTGTGGCAGCACACAGAAGAAGAAGGAAAGTAGAAGAGGGGAAACGTTGTTTGAAAAATAATAAAGGAAACCGTTGAGGGAAGAAGTGATGTTGTGCATTTTGTTGTTGCTGTTGGATGTTGAATAAGCAGATCAAATGACAGGTGTTTGTTGTTGTTGTTGTTCGGAGAGTGCCCGTAGGTGTGCACATGCGTTACACGTCGTTACATAAACGCATGTATTTGTATTGATGTAAGTATTTAAAAAGATAAAGGAAAGTCCGCGTTCAAGTTTTGACAAAGAAACGGTAGAGCGGGCAAAATAAGGAAAAACAAAACGGTCGCGGCCCGTGACGTCGGACCCCGGAAAAGGTCGCCGGTCGGCATAAAAGGCGCCCGTGTAGGTCGTTCTGTCAATCAGTTGGTCGGTCGACCGACCAGGTGCGGTCAGTGACCGAAAGGTAGGAGAGGTAAGTTCGGAGGTCCTTCACACAGTTGGCGGTTTTACTCCTTGTGTTAGCTTTAGCGAAGTAGCTTTGAGCAGGCTTAAGGTTGAAGCCGATTGTATGTGATTATGTGATTGTAGGTGCTGAAACGAAAAGAAGTCGCCGACGTCGGAAGGTGTGGAAGAGTCTTTGCTCGTGGAATCACGTTGTGGTGATTGGAGAAAGAGCTCGTCGTCATCGTGTTAAAGTTGTGCTCAACATTGTTTGAAGTGAACAGACACGTTGGGAGTTGTGCACACGGAGACCAGGTGGAAGTGGTGTGGCGTCGGAGTCTCCTCGTGACAGCGAAAGACACGGTGAGCGATAGGTGGAGTGGAACTCCGGTTATCTACGTAGTAGTGGCAATTCAGTGACGAGGGTAGCGGTAAATTGAAAACCTCAGTCGTTTACACGACGTGTTTGTGGGTGTGTTCCGGACCGTCCGTCGGAAATCACAATGGAGAAGTGAATATTAAGGGTAAGGTCAAGAGCGAGCCCAAGATGAAGGAGTTGAACGGAGTAAGGATCGTGGTTTTTCACCTGTTGTTTGAGGCTACAGTGGCGCCGTTGAGCTTTGGTAGGCCGCAGAGCCTTCGTTCGAGGCTACTGCAGCGGCTGCTCTTGGCTGCCGCGACAAAGCGTCTGCGCGCTTTGTCGCCGTTATTGTAGCAGTGACTTAGTGTGTCGAGAACATTTGTGGGTTTATTTAAAAGTAGAATCTACTGGCAGTTTACGTAAGTGAACGAAGCGCAGTGTAGATGTTCCGTCGGACTGAGGGAGTCGGAGTGGTTACGTAGAGTTTTGGACTAATTGCAAATTCCAGGGGGGGTTGCTGCGTTGTTAACTGTTGAAATTAACTGCTGAAACTAACAGAAGTCATTCCCACGTAGGCGGCGCTGACGAGTCGACCACGAGACGGAGTGTGGGCTCTGACGAGGCGTTCCTAGAGTGACGTCTAAGGGTGGAACCTGCTAATGATCTAGACGCCGCAGTCGGTCGTGTCGGCCTTTATTGACCTTTGTGGACACCGCACAAAGTCAAAGGGGTGAGAACTACGGCGACGGCAAAGGGTTCATTAGAGTATGACCAACCGTAGGACAGGGCTGCGTACGGCAGGAGCCAATGGAGAGCCAGTGGCGGAGTGAGTGCCAGGGGGAAGTTTCCTGTCCAGATATCTTCATCTGGTGATCCCGCAGAACTTTTGTCATTTTTATAGTGGGCTTGTCTGTATTTGCTGAGTACATTTTCTAGTAAAGACTACTGTGCCCTAGCGAGGCACTTAGAAGAATTTTTGGGAGGCCTCCCGGCAGGGGAATAATGTCCCTTGTGAAGTAGTTAGTAATGTGTAGTTATCTAATGTGTAAGTAAGTGGGTATAAGGTGGGTAGGCGTAGGGCTTAGATTTAGCGTTTAGGGTCTTTAATAGGAAACGTGCTTGGTAAAGACAGACAAGCTTGGTTAATATCTACAACTTTCCGGAGTTGTTGACAAGTTCTGCGGGTTAACTGGGGGAGATGAGGCGACGGTTGTGGAACTCTGGTGAGAGCTCCGGTGAAGTCTCCGGGGGTCACTCTGTTGGCTTTTTGACCTGCGCAGTGAGGCGAGAGAACTGGTTAAACTATAATGGATTTGGAACCCGTCGTAGTTAAAGCCTTTGATGTGTGTGCAAAAGTTCGGAAAGGGCAACGAAGGTGACGACAAAGCAGCGCAAGGAAGCGGCGTCGGATCATCGGCGGACCCTCGGCCTCCCGACGGAAGGACGGTGAGTAGAGGTTTGTGGGCGATGTTCTGCATTTGCCGAATGTGTCGACAGGAACGTGTGACCGATGTGATGTTTGAGTAGGATTTGGAGGACCGGAGGCGACGGAGTAGGAAGAAGATGGATCCCGGTTGAAGGCGGAGAGGCTAACGAGGAGTGCATGAGACGTCGGAGGTAACGGGGACTGGATCAGAAGTCCTGTGTGCCGTGGGTGAGAGAAGGTGAGTATGGAGTTGTAGAAGCAGGATTTGGAGGCTTTGC